TTAATCCATACTTCCTGATTAATGAGGAGTTACTGAAGTACAAGCTTTTAAAAATGGTGTTACTGTCTTTACACATGTGGAGACTGAAAACATGCTGCTGTTTGCACATATTTAATATTCAGCTCTGCACAGGAGCTGCAGCAGGATGCAGCCTGTTGCTTTTACAGTATAATACTTGTAATAAAAGTACAGTAACAGTAATTAGTGACTGAGCAGCCCGGAGCGTTTCTCTGGATTTCTTTAGTAAATTCATTCATCTGCACAGCTAAACGAACCCTGACAGCCGAGTGCTCATCTTAGCTAGCTAGGTCTCAGGACCGAGCTAAGGACGGTAGTTACGGATTAGCTTACAAACACGTTTAACTTACCGAAAAAGTGCAGCGGGGCCTCGGGTCCTTCTGTCGGGTAGTCCAGTTTACTGAAGAACACCTCAGGCTGTCAGGTTAAAACACTCGGTCATATTTTCGTAGCGTAAACACTGGCCCTCCTCTCAGAGCCTACGCTCTATCTGCTATTCCTGAACAGAGATACGCAAGTTTCTCCGTGACTGCAGCTGCCAGTCAAAGCTGTTATGATGACGTTTCACCCCAATTTAACATCACCGTGGTAGGAATTAGAATCAAACTTATGGGAAAGGAGACTCATTGGAGACAAAAGAAAGAATCTTTGGAAAAAATTATCTGAGGAGAATTAATTATGACCTATACTGCAGCCAGACACCAGGGGGCGATAGAGACGTTTTGGCTTCACTTTTGGGCTGTCGTGTCCTCCATGTTTTCTACAGTCATTGGTCTCCACAGGCTGCTCCTGCAGGAGCTCCAAGACTCCCTGTGGGTTTGGGCCCACCTTGTGGCTGCTGTCATTGGTGGACGGCTCCGGTCTCTGCAGTGATGTCACCGTGTTAGCAGGACCTCAGCTGACATGGGGACACTTCTATGTTTCCGTCTGAGCTGAGTGAAGTCATTCCACCTTAAATCAGCTGCAGTTACAGTACTGAGCAGAGGCAGGAAGGCAGCTCGTGTCCTCCAGCTTAACCAGCACAGACTCAGGTGTGTCATCACTTCCTTGTTACCTGCACAGGTACAGCCGGCGCTTTGACAGGACACTTTTATGTGAAGGAAGAGAAACGCTGATGTAAATATTCTGATGTCATCAGCCGCAGGTCATGTCACGGTGGCTCCACCCACAGATGCTGGGTGGTGCAGTCGGCTCAAAGCTCGTTTGAACTTTCTCCTATGGCTGATTGGACGTCCAGCTGTGTGATGCCCTGTATGATGTTAACGTTTGTCCTCTGTTGCGCCCCCTGCAGGTGTTCCAGATGATCGTTGAAGGACACAGGAGGGAGGAGAGGAGGAGGAAGGAGGTGGGCTGTCAGAGCGAGGCGGCCGAGAGGAGGGACGCCGCCGTCCAGGTGGATCTGCTGACTGAGCAGCTAAGCTGGAGACACTTAGGTGAGACTCAGGGACACGTGATTTATCACCGTGCTCTCTGAAACACGGAGCTTCAAACTCCTATCCAGTCCAACGTGTCTGTAAAGCAGCACTGAAAACAAACCAGCTGCATGTGAAACACACAGTTACACAGACTCAAACACAGGAAGCCTGCCAACACACAAGCCGTTACGCTGGTCACTATAGCGATGCACCATAGTGCAGCTGTAATAACTGTGTGACGAAGGGCTCGACCTGAGGAAGGAAGAACCTGATTCCACAGGCTAGACATTGGCCCAGGTCCCCTGTGGCACCCAGAGGCCACGCAGAGCCGGTCCACACAG